ACCTCATTCAACTATTATAAAATAAATTAATTAATAGATATTTCTGGTTCATAGAAGGTACTCAATAAATATTTGTTGAATAAATGCATTATATGACTGTAAGGAGTTTATTATTCCTTGTTTGATGAGGTTGGCTTAGGTTTGGAGGAATGGTGCCAGGCTCCACTCAATGAGTGTGTTTACTTTGCATCTACTACTAAAGCAAATAGTACTCTCTATTTGTCTGAATTCAATTTTTAAAAAAAAATCTGTGTCTTATCTCTTAAGCAACAATATATGTAACTATGGGTCTCTAAAGTGCTTTGTAGGTAATTAAGTTCAGTAAATATTGGTGATATGAGTAACAATTTTTTTTCTGGTCTTACCTTTTCTAATCTATGATAAACTGGTGCCTTATAGGCAACTTCTAGCCAGGAATCACCCTCTATCCCAGCGATTTTCAATCTTTTTCATGGCACACATAAACTGATTACTAAATTCTATGACACACCAAAATATATTTTTTGTCAATCTGACAAAAAAGAAAAATAGGTTTTTCTTTAAAAAAATTTTTTTTAAATTGATTTTAGAGAGAGAGGAAGGGAGAGGGAGAGAGAGATAGAAACCTTGAAGAGAGAGAACATCAATTGGCCACCTCCTGCATGCCCCACTGGGAATTTGGCCCACAATCTGAGCATGTGCCCTGACCAGGAATTAAACTGGCAACCTTTTGGTGCATGGGTCGACGCTTAACTACTGAGCCTCACTGGACAGGCAAAACAGGTTTAATTTTGATTCATTTACACTGGATGGCTATTGTGTTGGCTGTTGTCATTGACAATCTAAGGGAAAAGAGAGGTCAATACCCCTGACTAAATAGTCAGGTATTGCATATTTAAAAAATTCTTGCAGCACACTGGTTAAAAGTCACTATTTCCCAAAAGTTCACCCTAGAGAATCAATATGAGAATCAAATTATCTCTTAAGAATCAATCATTTCTCAAGAATAATTCTTAAGAATAAATAAAAATAGTAAGTGCTTTTGCTTGCTTGATTTCTGGCCAAATCAGTGCCTTTTAGTTGGGAAGTACTAGGTTAGACTCTGCCTGTAATCTAGACAGGGCTAAAAAGAACATCCACACTGGGACCCGTCCTGATTCACATACAGGTTCTATCACTTGGGCAAGTCACTACCTCTGTCACCCTCTCTGAAGTTACCATTTTCTTTCCTGAAAATGTAGGGATAATTATTCCCACTTAATAGATTTGCTGTGAAGGTTAGATGAAGGATGTGTGAAAATTGCCTAGCTCAGCATCTAGAAAAGGAAGTACTCAATAAAGGTTAGCTGCTGTTATTCCCCTTTCTCCGTTTTTGATTTTGTTTTCCTCTTACTCTGGGTTGCCGCTATCCTGTTTCAGAACAGCAGAGAAAATGAATGGGCTAGCTGATGTGGCATGGGATGTGTGCTTTTCCTAGAGAGCAGTTCTGAGCAATGGCTTCTTTCCCATGCCCTTCCTGGCCTGTTTGCCAGAGCTCACACCCCTGGGTCATTTCTTTACCCTTTATTTTCTGCACTTCCCCCTTGAATGCAGTTGAGGGATTGGAAGCTAGGTTCACCTCTGACTGTCCATCTTCTTCCAACCCAACTCACGACTTGCTTTTTGAGCTCCAACTTCTGAAGTGATTGTTCTTCTCTAGCTCAAGGTTAGACACACAATGAAAATGATGCCATCTGCTGGAGTACTGGATTTTCTTTGCTCGAGTTGCAAAAGAGCGTTTGCGCCAAGGTTGAGGTCTATTATTCCTCCTTGCTAAGTAGAGTACATGTCCCAGCATGCCAGAGTTCTCAAGTGACTTGTTTTTCTCTCTCCTTCTGAGCCTGCATCTTTGAGAGAGAGCAAAGTGGAAATAATGGCAACTCTAAGTAAGAAAGTACCACATTCTTATCACTGTATTATGGGTCAACTAACCTCTCTGAGCTGCAGTTTTTTCATTTCTAAAATGGGACTAATAATGCCTGAATTTTGACCTTACCAGATTGTTGTGATAAGATAAGGGATGCAGTTATCTGGAGCATTGTCCTGTACACTAAAAAGGTTGCAGGTTTGATCCCCAGTCAGGGTGCTTACGAGAAGCAACCCATCCATGCATCTCTCCCACATCGATGTTTCTCTCTTTCTCTCTCTCCCTCTCTTTCTCCCCCTTCCTTTCTCTCTAGAATCAGTGGGAACATATTCTTAGGTGAGGATTTAAGGGGGAAAAAAAGGTAAGGGATGCAGAGAGCTTGATAAACTAGAATGCTGCTTGGATGTAAGGAAGTGTTATTACTCTCCTTCCACATTTATTTTTCCAGGCTGGGCCAGGCTTGGGGGGGAATGGGTGCCAGACTCTGCATTTGCTTATTTACTTCCCCAGAACCCTGCCTTACCTAATGGGCAGAACCTGATGAGACTCCCAAGTCCATACAGTCTGTGATGGGCTTCCATGATCTTGCTACCCAGGAAAGTGCAGTACCATAAGCCAAACCATTGATTTGCCAACTCTCAGCCCTTCCCAGCCATGGTTCCTATATCTTGGTAATGTGGACCTAGGAGGCGCTTCCCCTCTTTCAACAACATTGGAGACTCCACGAAAAAATTTTGGTTTCATTTCCTCTCAGAACTTTGACTTATCTGCCATAGATATGTGGCCAGATTGTCAGAACATTCTGGGAGTTCTGTGGAATGAGAGAATAATAACAATACTTCTAGCTACCCCTGAGTGTCTACCATGTATCAGGCAATTTACTGAAAAGAAAACTAAGATTCAGAAAAGTTAAGTCTCTTGTTTCAAGTCACATAGCTAGGAAGTGGTATAGTTGGAATTTGAACTTACTTCTGATTCCACAGTGGTTCTAATCATCATACCATGAGGCCTCCCAGCACTGTTGAGAGGAAAATTCAGGGATTTCCAGCCCTGTAATCTACATGCAGATCCAACCCTGCCTGCCTGATCTGGGGCAAGCGACTGTCTCATTACATCTTGTTGTTGTTATTAATCCTCATCCAAGGATATTTTTCCATTGGATTTTAGATTGAGTGAAAGGGAGGGAGAGGGAGAGAGAAAGAGAAAGATCACTGTGAGAGAGGAACAAAAATTTGTTGCCGCTGGCATGTGCCCTGACCAGGGCAGGGATTGAACCTGCAACCCAGGTATGTGCCCTTGACTGGGAATCAAACCCATGACCTTTCGGTTCTCAGGAATCAAACCTGTGACGTTTTGGTTCTCAGGAATTGAACCCGTGACCTTTTGATTCTCAGGAATCAAACCCATGACCTTTTGGTTCTCAGGAATCGAACCCGTGACCCTTCAGTTCCAAGGAATCGAACCCATGACCTTTCGGGTCTCAGGCTAACGTTCTATCCACTGAGCCACACCGGCCAGGGCTTTCATTAAATCTTAACCACAGCCATGTGACTTCTTTCTCTCTTTTTCTTTTTTGCTTTTACTTTTTTTTTTTATCCTCACCCGAGGACATTTTTCCATTTTTTGTTCAGATAGAGCGGGAGGGAGAGAGAGGAAAAGAGAAGTAGAGAAACATCGACATGAAAGGGACATATCGAGTGGCTGCCTCCCACACTACCCAACCAGGGTTGGGGACAAACTGCAACCGAGGTACATGCCCCTAGCAGGAACTGAACCCAGGTCTCTCCGGATCGCAGGCCGACGCTCTAACTGCTGAGCCAAACCAGCCAGGGCTGCTCTTTTACTCTTATCTGTGTTTTACATTTGAGGAAACTTAGTAAAGGTGAAATAATGTGCCCAAGATTACAGAATAGTGGGTGGCACAGCCAGAGCTCATCTGTGTCTAGCACCTGGTTCAGTGTTCTGCCCACCATTTCTCCCAGCCAGCTCCTGAGATCTAGTGCATCACTCAGGCAAACTCAGCTTTCAGGGTGCTGGTTGAAAGCCTATGGGAGCAGGAGCCTTGCCCTTTTCTGCTGTTTCTTTTCTCATAATCTCTTCTTCTTAGAAACTTTACTAGGTGATGTAAACATTTGCAATTCAAGAAGGTTTATGCAAAGCTTAAAAAACTGCACAGAGCACCCCACAGAAGCTTGGGAATCTGCCTCCCGTCCTTTGTATGAGTTTGTGCTGTTACTCAGACAGCATGGTGTAGTAGGTAGTTTTGAGAAGTTTCTTTCTGAACTTTTTTCTTTATCAGGAAAATCTTGTAAGGTTGTTGTGAAGGTTAGAGATGATAAATATTCAAGGGCATCAGGTAGAGGCAAACTAATTGATGGCAGTTATGTACCCAGGGTCTAATATAAACCAGACTGGGAGTCAGGAGTCCTAAATCTATTAACTCTCATTCTGTGACCTTGGGCATGTGAGGCACTGTCTCTAGATAGACTGGGTAATCTCTAAGGACTCCTTTCAGCTTTAATGCTTGTGCTTTTAAAAATGAAAGTAAATGCTTGTTTAAAAAAAAATCAAAGTGGACAGAATTAAATGACGTAAAAAGTGAAAGACTCCTATCTTCCCCTATTCAATACATTCTCAAGATAATACTAGTTACCAATTTGTGTGTTTTCTGTTGTTTTCTGTGTAAAGATAAACAGGTACATGTAAATATGTGTATATATACACATTGTAAGGTATGCATGTTAAACACACTGGAATCTAGGATACATACTGTATTACGACTTCGTATTTTTACTTGCTTTGGGCATTTTTTTCTTGTTAATACTTGAAGATTTAATTCTTTTTAATTAATGTGTTTTTTTTTTCCTTTATTGATTTTAGAGAGAGGGAGAGGGAGAGATAGAGACATTGATGAGAGAGAACATCGACTGGGCATGTGTCCTGACTGGGAATCGAACCAGCGACCTCTCGGTGCATGGGTCTACGCTCATCCACTGAGCCACACCAGCCTGGCTTAATGTTTTATATATTAAGTGATCTCCCGGTGATTACATGTCATGATTTTTTTAAAGCAAATATACACATACAATGTTGAGTTTTTCAATTTTCTTTTTAGGAAAAGAAGAAAAAGAAACATAGAGACAGGAAGTCATCTGATTCTGACAGCTCAGACTCTGAGAGTGATACGGGCAAGAGGGCAAGGCACACATCAAAAGACAGCAAGGCGGCGAAGAAGAAGAAGAAGAAGAAGAAGCATAAGAAGAAGCACAAGGAGTGAGAGTACAGAGTACAGGGGGTGCTTGAGGGGAGAAGGAACCAGGAGCTTTGTGCCTTGCAGCCCTGGCTCCTAGACTCAATGAGAATATGGCCTCCCACCCCTTACTCTCCCATGGGAGATGGCTTCCCCTCATGCAGCAGGCAGGTTTGGGAGCTAGATGCCAAAAGCATCTGCCTGAATGAGTTTCCTTATCACTCCTGGTCCATTTGCAAGTGACCCCTGCAGCTCACCCATCTATTTGCCCCACTTCCCTCATTTAGCAGGAGGTCCTGTTACCCTCTCCAGCTGCCACTGCCAGAGCCTGATTCCTGTACAGGAGTCCAGGCCAGAGCCACTCACCTGTGGAGGTGAGTCTGGCTGTGGTTGGAGAAGTGACTGGCCTCTCCCTGTTTGTTTCCCCTGGGCTGATTAGTGGGTGATCTCTGTTGCACCCAGCACAGGGGCAGTCTGAGGGAGGATATGGTCAGAAGTGGTGCTCACTCTTGCCATTCCCTCTGTGCTAGAAGTGACAGCTAGTGGCCGCAATCAGAAAGCCATTGTTTGCAGTGACTGAGCTTGTGTGTGACATTCTGCCAGACCACCGAACCAGACAGTTCAAGCCAAGATCATTGCTTTCCTTTGTGTTTACTACTGTGAGTCAATTGGTTCCACTTCAGGTTTCTGCTTAAATTCCTAGCACTAAATGGAGGTGTGTTTGGTTTTAAACTTACTGAAAGTTCTTATTGTTGTAATACCTCTCCCCAGGTAACTAACTTATAGACTTCAGAGTCACTGAGTCTGCATGAGCTGACAGAAAAATATTTCATATGTAACCTTAGATGTGGCGAGAGGCCCAGCTGAGGTGCAGAGCCAGATATACTAGAAGGTCGCAGCCTTCTTAGATCACTGATAAGTCCTCCCTTCTGTCATTATCAGGTGACCTCTTCCACCCCCCGAGCTGACTGGAGAACCAGTGAGAATTTGTAACTGTAGTAATGGCCTGGGCATAGGTGGGAGCTCAGCAGTCATCTTGGCCAGTGGGCATTTTCTCCCGCCACCACGACATAAGCCTAGCTCCTTTGTCCTGAGCCTGCATTCTGGAAGAGAGAGACCACAGCATTGCACAGAGAAGAGCAACTGTGCAGACCCAAGGACGTTCAGTGGCCAAGCCTAGGGAAGCCCTGACACTGATTATTCCAGGTTGCACTAGCTCGTGTGGCCATGGAGAGGAAGTAAAGCAAGGGGTAGTACAGCTGTTGCATTATTGTACATGGAAGGTGGGCAGCGACCACTGTCCCTGAGACTGTCCATTTCAGTCTCATCCAGCGCTTCTTTCTGAGGGACCTTCAGGCAGGCGTTGCTGCCTACTGTCTGACAGGGAAACAGGCTCCCGGAGTCATGTCACCAAAGGTAAAAACGCAACTGGGTGGCTTTGCTCTGCTTTATTGACCTCAGAGCACTCTTTGAAGGCAGTTAAAAAAAAAACCAAACACATGGGAACTGAAACCGGATCCAGGGGTGCACCTGATCCCAGAAGAAGTTCCCTAACCAAGGTGGATTTATACAAAACGCCAGAGGAAAAAATGAGGCAATTTGGTGCTGAGTCCAGGGGTAACCAGTTGGCGGAGGGGCAGTCAGTGACGAGGCGGGCAGGTCATGCCTCCTTCTCGTAAGTGCGAGTACAAACCGCACTGCCATGGGTGAGTGTCTGGAAGGAAAGAGAGTCCGATTAGGTCAGGGGTGAGGGAACAAGCATGTTGGAAGTGCTCCGTTCTGATGGGCAAGCCCCTCTGCCTTCATCCTACTGATCTTCATTTACTGACTGCCTACTCTGTACCAACCACTTCACATGTCTGTTTTTTTTCTAATACACCAGGCCCTTCAGTTACCTCTTTTAGAGATTTGGGAAAATGAGTTTTGAGAGAGGAAGTAATTTGGTTAAGACCCCAGAGTGTTTCTCTTTCCCATGCACCATTCTTCCTTCACCCTTAATGCCTAAGTTGGCTCTGGTAGGTGAATACAAATATCCTGAGACTCACAGGGAAGGACTGTGCTAGGCCACCAGCCTCCTTTCCTTCCCTGACTTGGGGGTAGTCCCAGGGCCAGAGACCTGAGCCACTGCCCTCCAGCTAGGCACTGCAGAGCCAGGCCCATGGTCTCACCACAGCTGGCCCAGTGAGTATTCTGGCCTGCGTATCACATTTCTACCAAAGGTAGGCACCCCATTCTTGCTCTGCAGGGATCCCTGCTCTTGTGAATGCAGTAATGCAGTGAGCAGGTTACACTCACCCAAGGTCTGCTGTGAAGATGCTGAGTGACAAGCTGAGGCCCTATGGAATTAGGAGGTGGAGACCCACGGTGGCTGCTGTCTCTGCCCTTGGGTCTGGGGGTGTTCGGTCAAGTCTACCTGGCACTTCCTACCCAGTCTGTGTCAGGTGCTTGCAGTAGGCCAGGGGTGAAAAGCACTGAGGAGGTGGGGCTGGAATGAGGAAGGACTGCGCTGGCAGTCGGTGCCCAAGTCACCAGCCTGGGAATGCCCACAGGCTTTACATGTGGCAGTGCAGTCCCGGGGAGGAGAGGAAAGGGAATGCTGTGGGAGGAGGTGGGAGCCTTTCTGAGGACGGGGTCGGATCTGGCGCTGTTTTCCTGCCTCTCCAGGTGGGGGCAAGGCAGCAACACACGGAACAAAGGCTGTGGAGCCCCTGCTGTCTCCTCCCACGATGCTTCGTGCTGTGTCCACTGTCTCATTCAGACTTCCCAGCAGCCCTACAGGTTTGGTGTTATTAGTGCCTATTTTTACAGTTGGACTTGAAGGTGACTTGGCCAAAGTCACACAGCCTTAGCTGAGATTTGAACCTAGGCCTGGGATGTGAGTTCAAAGCACTAAACAGAAAATTCCCACCCAACACCATCCAACCTGTTCTCCACCCTTCATCATCCCAGCTTCCAGCACTGCCAGGGACCTTGGCTTTTTACAACAGGTGTGGCCGAAGGGGCAGCACTAGTAACCAACTGGGCAAGGCTCCAGAGCTGTCCGTCTTACCAGGATGAGTTTTCCGTCAATGAGCTCCCGCACAAGTGTTGTTTCTTGCCCGTCCCATTTCTGCACATGGACAAGTTTGCCTCCATCCAGCGTCACAATGGACTGTGGAAACAGGGTAGAGGCCTGAGCTGTGATCTGAGCCAGGGTTGAAGAACAGCACGTAGTCTGGTCTCTGGGCCACAGAGGACTCAGCCTCTGGCCCAAACTAATGATGGTGCTAGGCCCAGAGCTCAGGTGGACTACCTCCAGCCTAACCCTGCAGGATGTCTGGCTCACCTCCAGCCTCTGCTCCACTATTGCCTGGCTGGGGGAGGTCTTCGGGTGTTGGGCAAGTAGGAAGAGGCAGGCAGTGTGGTGGAGCCCGACAGCCTGGCTCTGAGAAGCACCACCAGTGTTCAAGATGGGCATTTATCCCATACTCTAGATGGTGCCACAGCCCAGTGCCACTAAGATATAAGTGGCATGTACCAACCTTTATCTTGGGAAAGACTGGTGAGGAGGAGGAGTCCTGAGACTCAGTCTAGTGGTGATCACACATAATATCTAAAAGACCCTTTTGGGGAGGGGGTGTTGGAAAACTAGACTTTCTGCCCTGTATTCCTACCCCTCTTCTTGGTCCACATCATGTGATGCCTTCAGCTGACAAGTGGGCAGCCACTGCCAGGTCCTGGGACTGGGTGCCCTTGGAGTGTTCCACAGCCCTGGCCAAATGCCCACTTAGTCTTCTGGGTGCTACCAGCCTGCATCAGCTGGTTCTTACTTGGCCACTCTCCCAGGTCACTCTAGGAATTTGGGGGTCTAAGCCAGGCTAAGGGACCCTGACTGAGCAGAGTTCAGCAGAAGAAACTGCAGAGGATGTGTATGTGTTTGGGGCTTGGGGGCGGGTGATGCAGCCTTACCACCACCTGACTCTTCATTCCCATTCCCTTAGTTTTTGCCCACTCAGCAAATTATTTTTAGCCAGGCATCCCAGAGAACTGTTGTGTTTAGTTGGGGTTCTTGCCCCTCAAGAAGGTGGGCTAGTCCAAGGAGGTACAGGCATATGGTAGGGGTGTGTGATCCTGAGCTGGGCTCTAGCTTCCTCCACAGGGAAGAGACCATACCCTCCCATGTCCTTCCTGGGGGCAGCTGTGAGGAAGGAGAAAGAGCTGGGGGGCTAAATAGTAGAGTCTGGTGGAGGGATACTGCTGTAAGGACAGCCTGTGGAAGTCAAAGCCCCTGCGTTCTCTCTCTGCCATGCCTAGCCAGAGGATGCCCAAGGCAAGCTGCCAAGAAAGAGCCACCACAAGGTGACAGCCCTGAGGGTGTGGCCTAAGGCTTGGTCTGAAGACACTGCAAACACTCAAGACTATGCCTGTCCAGGTCATGGCTTGTCCTGCCAGTGGACTGGCAGCATTGGAAATATTTGCTCAGGGTCATTGGCCAAACCAGGCAGGCAGGTGGAAGTTGGGGAAGAGGTGACGTCTGAGTAGGTCTCAGTTCTTGTCCCCAGCTGCCTCCCTTGCCACTGGAGGCCAGGATGACCTGCTAACTCAGTGGAGGGCCTTGACTTCTGGGCATCATTCCTAAAGCACTTGAGGAGATAGCTATGGCCACACACCACTCCTCCATCTATGGGAGGGGAAAGAAACCCAGAGCCATTGCATGCCATTCACAAGGTCACCCAGCTGAAGCTGGAGTAGACACTGAGGTCAGGAAACATCCTGGCTCTGTGCTGCCCACTCCCAAGTATGGAGGAGAAAACCAAGAGGACAGGACTAACGTGCATTTAACTCTGGATCATTCCAGCACTGTATAGGCGTTATGGTCCTTGTTTATTTCAGTCCCCCATGATAGCCTACCCCTCAGGGTATAATAATAGGGTGCAAGACTGCTGGCTTATTCCTCTTCAGAGTCTCAACATCCTCCATTCCCCATGCCCCCTTCCTTGACTCACCTTGACCTTCCTGTCATCTGCCGTTGTCTCATCAAACTCCACCCCTAGCTTGAAGCTGACCTCCGTGTTCTTGAAGGTGCTTTGTGTTTTTATGGTGATAGTGTCCCCATTGATTTCGATGATTGTGGTAGGCTTGGTCATATTGGCCACCTGCCTGGTAGCAAAACCCACACCTGAGGGCAGAGGGAAGGGTATGAGTATATGAGCTGGAGCAGAGAGGCAGCACACAAGGAGCTCAATGAGCAACTCGGGCTGGATGTGGGAAAGGGAAGAGGAGAACTTTCCAAGACTGCATGGCCATGTTTTTTACTCATTTTTACATGGTAAAGAGACACTTGATCCCATTAGACAGATGAGAACTTAAGGGACAGGCACTCCACAGCAAGTCGGTGGCAGAGCTAAGATTAGAATAAGGTAAGTACTTTCTGTATGGTAAGAACTGTACATGTGTTATCTCATTCAATCCTTCCAGTCTTCCCAAAAGGTTGATTTATAACCTCCACTCTAAAGATGCAAAAATTGAGATAGAGTTGAAACCCAGGGTCACAAATCTGAACTGACTTGCAGAGCTCACTTAACTGCTCAGCTCATAGCGCCTCTCAGGCTGGAGCCCGGGGCTCCCTTCCAAGGCACAGGTGAAGGAGGAAGTGTGGACTTTGCCTTCCAGGGCTTTGGGATAGGAGCATTCCCACCTTTGGAAGTATCTACCCTGAGATGCACTGGTGCTTTTGTCTCCCATATACGGCAACAAGACATTTTCAAAGTCTTTTATCCCAGATCTAGGAGGTTCCAGAGGGTGTGTCTGTCTCCTTGTACAGTTAGGAGAGGCCTAAAAAGTTAGCGCAGTCAGGACTCGAACCCAGGTCTCCAGGCTCCTAGTCTAAGGCCTATTGAGGACACCCAAGCATGGCTTCCCTGGGTGCTGGGCAAAGCCCAAAGTGTCCTGTAAGAGTGTGGAACAAAGCTCTCGGGCCAAGTCTAAGGTGTGTTCCTGTAATCTGTCCTTTTGCCTGCAGCCTCCCCTCATAACTGCCTGGCCTTCTGCCCCCAGCAGCTTATGCTGAGCTGTCCTCCAGGGCAGGGGTGGGGCAGAACAGCCAGTGTGGTGAGGTAGTGTGTGTAAAATCCCCAAACATGCCTGGCTACATAGTGCTTGTTGGCAGCTAAGTACTTACCCTGTGCCTTCCATGGGTTATTATACTCTAAATGCTCCTGACAGCCCTGAACAGTGGGTTTTATTACCCCCATTTCACAGAAGAGGTTTGGAGACTGACGTGACTTGCCCAGAGTCAGAGTGAGTGAGTGACCCAGATTTGAATCGGCTCCAAAACTATTTGCTGTTCCTGGGCCATTCTGCCTCCTGTGATGTGTGTCTGTGATCACTGGTACCGCCTTTGCCCCCTGAGAACCCTTGGTCTAAAACAATGGGCACAGGCAGCCTCTGCAGCTGGCCCACCCTGCAGGCCGGTGAGGGACTTTGGCCTCATCCCCTGTTGTGAGAGTGAGTCAGGCCAGTTCCACTGAGCAGAGAGCTGGGCCTTACTGCATAGGGAGTTCTGTTTGCCTAGGACCCACCTGGAGAGGTGATGTCTTTAAGGAAGAAGTCCTCTGGAGAGTGAGGGAGGGACTAAGCGAGGAGACACAGAATGAAACAGCTGACAGAATTAGGAGATTTGGGAAGATGTCGATTCTACTTAGAAATGAAGCTGAAGTATTTTACTGAGAGAACGGAGGAGGGACTTTTCTCCCCCATGGGGCTCAGCCTTTCAGTACAAGCAAAGCAGGTTGGATGGACTTGGCTCCCTAGCCCAGGCTGGGGCAAAATAAGGGAGCAATGGTGGTAAGTATGTTGCCGCTCACTTCAGGGACCAGGTAGGTCTGCAGTTGGAATGTCTGCTGTGGGAGGCTTGCGGGGAGGAACTAACCCTGGCATTCCAACTTGCGCCAAAGCTGCCCAGGAGTCACTGGACACAGTGCCCAGCGTAAGGTAGGCCTCAAGAGTGAACACTTGTGGTCCCTATTTCAGGAAAAGGTTAGAAACAGAGGTGAGAGGTGCCTGGATTGGAGCTTTCCCCTTCTTTGGGTACCTGTCATACAGCTTGACCATGCTCAACATTCCAGTTTCCCCTGTCCCAGCCTGGAGATGTAAGATAATCTCATAGCTGAGGACTTCAGGTTGTGGTATCACAGCCCCCACGGGAGCACATACAGGGGAGGAAGGGCTGAGGTCAATCACTAGGTAAGAATTTCCAACCACTCCCACCCACAGGGCCCATACAGGAACTGATCAGGATTGCAGATCTAGAAATCTAGATTTTCTGCTCTGCTGTGGAATTTTTATGACAAATTTCTACTGTCCCTGGGTCTCAGTTTCCCTGTCTGTTGAATTAAGCAAGGTATGAGGTTTTCCAAGAACCTCACCTATAAGAGTCTTTGAATTTTTACCCTTCTGTATCCCAATACCACACCCTTTAGACCAAAGAACCTCCCAGCCTTTAACAAACCTTGGCCTTGTTCCAGGACCCTTTGCTGCACTCAGGAAGTCCAACGGCTTTATCCACTGGGCCCCTCCGCACCCAATGGTGGAGCTTTTGGTTGCAGCAGATGTTGGGAGCTCTTGCCCTACCTTACCACTAGGCTCACTGATAGTAATGAATGCCTGGTTACACACCACTGCAGGACAAGGTCACACACAGACTGGTCGGTGAGAAAGGGCATCCACCGGGGGAAATCCTTTCCCTAACCCAACATGGAGAAGCAGGGGTTGCTGCTAACCGTGTGGGCACCTATCATCTTTTTTTTTCACATCCCATCACAGGGGTTACCCACTCTTCCATCTCCCCCCTCCGGGGAATTCCTTCTGTGGGTCACAATACACTCCCTATCCACACCAGTCTCTTTGTGTTCACATTTCCAATTTCTAAACCACCCGTGTTTCTATTCTTTTCCTCCCCTAACGAGCCTCCCATCTTCTTGGATCAATGCTCTCTTTTTATCCAAACCCTCCAGGATATAGACGCCTCTTCCTAAAAAGCACCTCTCAACCCCCACATCGATGGGCACAACTGCCTTCTTGAGTCAGCCTCTCTGGGAGTCCCCTCTCACCAGGTTCAGACCATGAAAGCCCCCTCCCAATAGGCCTCGCATGCCCTAGCCCAGGCTGCCACCTTCGCGTCCCCTTACGCTCCAACCTTGGCCAGAAGGGATGCAGTAGGTGTGCAGGGTGCCAGCCAGGGCGGGATCGCTGCGCCCGGCTGGGCATGCGGCCTGCCCCTCCCCAGTCCAGCATCTCGAGCCCTCTGCTCACCGATTGACTTCATGTAGTCATCGAAATTCTTGCTATCCACTAACTTCCAGGTGCCTGCGAAGGCGTCCACCATGGTGAGGCTGGGTTAGGCTGGAGAAGAATAAGCGACAAAGCTGGCGTGTAAGGACTCCGGGACCGGTGGCTTCCAGCCCGCGCTGCCGCTTTAAATAGCTCCTGCATCACGTGACGAGGCGTGGTCCATCCCCCCCTAACCCCTCCCGAAATAGGAAGCCCCAGGCTGGTCGCTCACCCTCCAGGGGCTTGGCCGCCCAGCCCCCAGCCGCAGCGGAGGGTGCAGCCAGTGGTGCCAGGCTAGCCTGCGTCAGCGCGGGTGCCTGGCCCCTGAGTCCCTGCCCCGGGCTGGCAGGACTGGCTTTCTTCCCTGGCCTCAAGGCCTTCTTTGGAATCTGAGAAGGAAGCCGTTGGGGGCACGGTGCCCGCGAGCCGGGACGCAAGCCCCATACGTCTTCCATCCCCCAGTTCCTCCCTAGTTTGGAGTTACAACAGAGATGAGAGATTAGAGGAGAGGGGAAACTAATTCGACCTTGGTCTGATGCCGACGCCGGGAAAGCTCTTGCTGACTTCGCGGCTCAGGCATCTTGGTACTCATTTTACAGGTGAGGAGACTAAGAGGGGAAATGACAAGGTCGCAAGAAATAAGAGGGTGAATTGGAGCCCAGATTGCATCCTGGTCTAGCTGGCTCCAGAATCCGCGTTCTCCGGTCACTCCCCACTGTCTGATGGCGGGGAGGGTAACCAGGGGCACCGTCGGTGACTGAGTGGCCCTTGTGCCCCCCTTCCCCCTTGCTCTGGCTTGACCCTACCACCATGCCCGCCCCACACGTGCTCTCCCCTCCCTGAGGAATGTCTGCTGCGCGCGCCTTTCCGCCCAGCTGTCCAACTCCCCAAACTCCTGCCCAAGCGCAGGCTTTTCTGACCTCTACGCACAGCTCTGGGCATTTGCTGCGGTTCTTCCCCCCTCATCCTCCAGAAAGTCTGTTCCTCACCTGCCTGACTGCTGCAGCTCCCACCTGCGTCCCGTTGTCTAACCCCTCCTCACGCACAAGCTGGCGGTCACCTTTAAGGAGACTGCTGCGTGGTTGACACTTGGCAGTTCACACAGCACTAATAATCAGACTTGCGTTGGATTGATGTTCACTGATGCTGAGGGCATTAAGTACATTGTCGCACTTTTATTATTATCCAGTTTTACAGATGAGCAAACCAAAGCTTAGAGGAGCCATTCATTTCAGTTCTTAAACCACCTACTTTGTGCGAGGCCCTGGGCCAGGCTCTGGAGAGTCAACATGAATAAGACACATGCTCACATAGCTCACCTTTGGGTGGGCAGGCACAAAACCAGCTGGTGGCTTTAAGGGGAGGCCTGGCCTGGTCTGGTCTAGGGGCTCAGGGGAGACTTCCTAGAGGAAGTAAGGTGTAAGCAAATTCCTGATAAGAAGTCCTGCATAAGGGAGTGGTGCCCAGCTGAATTTCAGCCAGCAAAGGACCCCCCAGGGGGCATGCAGGAGCTGTAGGCCCAGTAGCCCTGGGCTCCTACCAGCTCTGCCACACACTTACAGTGTGGCAGACCCCTTGCTGGGCCTCTGTTTCTCCATATGGAAGTGGAGAACACCTGCCCCTGCCTCCATTTCCCTGACTGGAAAGGAGGCCAGGGAGGAAGAGCCCTCTCCCCACCAAGGTCTTGGTTATTTTGGATAGGTCCACTTGCCAGAAGACTGAGGGGTCTATTTCTGCCAAAGCTGCAGGGACAAGCTTCAGGGCTGGGCATGGAGCCCTGGTGACCTCACTGCTGGAGCAGGTGCCCGGGGGGAGGAGGGGAGTGGGATGATTTCTAACTCAAGGTCACAGCCTTTAGACACAGGGCCTCCTCTCAAAGACTGAGTGGCTGGAGACCCAGGGACCAGAGCTGTCTTCCTACAAGGTCTTTATAATGCAGTGGTGAAGATCTGAGGATGGCAGGTAGATCTGAGTTCCAATTCCGATTCTATTAGGTTCTAGCTGTGTAGCGGTGGACAATTAAGCTACTCTAAGTCTCCATTGCATCTTGAAAATGGAGGTAATGACAGTATTTATCCCCCAGAGGTGTTTGGCGATCAAATGAGATAACATTTAAAATGCTGAGCCTGGTAATAAATTAATAAATTATGTTCACTCCTGTTGCTGCTGTTATTATCTCCATGGATAGTACGGGAAGTCCTAAGACCTGGTCGCAGCTCTGCCCCTCACCTGCTGGGCCACCCAAGGCAGATTGCTTTGCTTCTGTAATCCTCAATTTTCTTACTTCTGAGACAGGATTAGAGATGGCTGCAGCTGTGAGGAAGAAGCGATAGAGATCTCTGGGATGGGTCAAGGGGGATACTGCCAGAAAGTCTTTTGCTCTCTCTTTTGGGCCCTGCCTACGTTGAATAGCATGGTGCTTTGGGGAACTCTAGACAAACCTGAGACCCAAGATTCTCGCTGCCTTATCCTCCTCCTCTCTACCACACTCAGACCTGAGTCACCCAAGTTGACTCCTAAGCTGCACCCTGTCTTTCCTCCTGGTTCTCATCTTCCTAAGTGTGTACAGTCTTCTCCTCATCCCTCCAATCACCTGCATCCTCCTTGCCCTGTTGTGCTCACTACATCTGGGGAGAGAGGGGCAAGGGAAGGGAATATGAGCCCTGTCCCATTTCTTGCCCTTGGCAGGTCCAGATGTGGATATAACATCTGGCAGGCAGCAGGACCAATCCCTGCCAAGAGCAGCATCTCCCTGGACCTCGCCCTATGGTGATATCACTGTTCTCTGTTTCCACGGCAACCACAGGCTGGGAAGATGGGAAAGAGGAGAGATGAGTAACCAGGAGAGAGCCAATGAGATGGGACTGCAGCACCGGGTGATCCATGGGGCCATAGGGAGGGGGGAGAGGGAGGCCTACTCAGCATCTTCAGCTGTTCCCTCCACTGGGGATGTACTGCTAACACAGGGAGAGATGCTAGAGGTAGAGGCCAAAGGAGCTGAGCTGGGGGCTCCACTGATCCAGGGACATAGAGACCCACTTTGACCCTTTGGACCTAAGTCTGTGAATGCTGACCACCCCCACCCACCTCACACCCAAGTACTGCAACTGGGAATTGCTCTCTCTGGCTGACAATGGTGGTGGGGCTCTGTGTCTCTGCCTGCCACAGAATCATCAGGTTTCTCCACACCCTCCAAGCCCTCCCTTGGTGCATGGTACATTCAGAAGCAGTATCTTTGGAAAGAGGCCTGGTTCTAAATCCTCAGCCTGCCACTTACTAGCTAGAGACCCAGGCAAGTCCCTTCCCTGTTCTGAGTTTCTTATCTTCCCAGATGGAGGAAGGCCATCTACTTCTCTAGGTTGTTATGAGGATGAAAAGAGATACCATATGGAAAGCCTAACATACACTAATACTCAATGAATGCCCCCCCTTCTCCCTTTTGGGTTTCCTTGCTAGGGCATATGTCCCAGAGGTACACAAGAAGGAGCCAAGTATATCTCCTCCGAGGCCTTCAGATACTGCAGAGAAGTGTCTTCATCTCTCCCGTTCTCTCCCTTTAAATAATTCATCCATTCCACCAACCTTGATTGAGCACCTCCTGTGCTGCAGGGTCAGTGGGGATCCACTGTAAACAGCAGAGCCGCGGCCCCTGCCCTCTGTCACGTAAGAAACATCCAAACATGCAGAGAATTTTTTTTTTTTTTTATCCTCACTCGAGGACATTTTTCCATTTTTTGTTCAGGTAGAGTGGGAGGGAGAGAGGAACAGAGAGAGAGAGAGAGAAACATCGATGTGAAGGAACACATCGAGTGGCTGCCACCCGCACAACCGACCAGGGCTGGGGACAAACTGCAACCGAGGTACGCGCCCTTAGCGGGAACCGAACCCAGGTCTCTCAGGACCGCAGACCGACGCTCTAACCGCTGAACCAAACCGGCCAGGGCAAGAATTTTTACAAAAATTTGAGCCAAATAGAAGATATGCCTGGAAGCAAGATTTCAATGGAGATTGCTTGTGGCAATTTTACTAAAGAAGTTATAGGCGTGGGGCCTGACTACCCACATCACCTGCCCAGTTTGGAATTTATGGTCAGATCACCCTGTGAGGTTACTGTCCAGAGAACCCCTTTTCTGGCCACCCCTCCTTCAGCTCACAGTGCAGGGGGATTGCAGTCACAGTGGGTGGAATGGAGTGTTCTTTCTGCCATCAGGAAATCGCTTCCTTGTTCCTCAAGAGTTCTAGATACTGTGAGTCAGAGAACAAAAGATGGCTAAAGATAAAGGTGTACTCAACACCGGTTTGCTTCTGAGAAGCTGCTGCCTGTGGCAGAACGCGCCAGGGAAGGAAACAATGGCTCTCCCTGCCCCAGAAAGAGAGAGAACTCAGAGCGGAGGGGCAGTCAGTCACCTCTGCCTCCAGGAAACCTAGAAACTCACTGTCCTACTTGTTGCTGTCACAATAAAGCCTAAACTCTTTAGCCTTGCCTTATCTTTCATTGACTCGTTATTGCAGAAATCCTGCTCCAAGAAGATAGTAAGCATGAATGAATGTTGAATGAATGAATGAATGAATGAATGAGGGGATCTATCCACTTGTCTAGCTCCAGGGCCTTTGGGGGGAGACTTATTTGGGTTCAAATTCTGCCTCTGTTACTTACATACCAGCTGTGTCTTTGGGCAAGTCAGTCTCTCTGGGTCTCAATTTCTTTATCTGCAAAAAAACCAGCTGACCTCCCAAGGACTCTGGGAAGATAAGGTGGGGTAAGCCTGGGAGTGCTGTACCAAGACAGTTTCTCTTCTCAGCCTTCCTCGCTGGTTGCCCACGGCCCTCAGCACCACCACTGTCCCTTGCCCCATGGCCCTGTGGCTCCGGCCTCCGCCCACCTCGAAGCTCCCCACACTGCAGTGACTCCACCCGGCTAGTACCTTGAAGGGGCACCGTGTTTCTCACTTGCTGTTGGCCTAGAAGACTCTTCCTCCACAGGCCCTACGCTTCGTCACTTCTCAGCTTCACTGTCCCTTCCTCCAGGAAGCCCCGCCTTCCTTATCTTAGCACTTATCCTGCCTCCATGGGTCCTCTGTGTCAGAGCCTGTCTGTCACACCAGGACCGTCCGCGTGGCTCTGCGCTGTGTCCACAGGG